AGTTCCCCGAAAAGACAAATCGGGAAATAGAGATGGAAACAATCCCAAAAGTATCGACAAATTAGAGGTAGATAGAAGGGTCATGATAGAAAAAGTGGTAGCATGACTGTTTGGCCAAGGGTTGGTCAAGGGATGGATTTCACTTGTCTTTTTGAGGAGTTGAAGCTTAATGCTAAGAATAACAAGACGGACTCACGATGTCGGCGAGAGTATGGGAATGTATCAAGTCCATTGTCTGGAACTAGGAATTATGATAACAATAGCAGAAGAGATCGGACAAGGTGCGTTCAAAGAAGTCACTCTGACAACACGACCAAATACGAAAAACGAGGTCAGACCACTTTTATACATCGAAAACAGACTGCGGCCAAAATAGAGATCACAACAACTACGTTGAAATATCTGCATTATATTTCTTACATTAATTAACCATTGCAAAAAGTAACCTCTTATTGGGTATAATTAAGTGCTGAATTGCTTACTTTGTAGAATAACAATTAAGCACAAAATCATAAAGGTCTCAATAATGAGGAAAAAAAATTTTTACTGATCACTATTTTAAATTGACACCTGACCGAGGGACAATGAGAGTATGTGGTAGAGGAAATGCTAGCTACCATTGCAAAAAATAGTTTTCCTCCCGAGTAAATTTTCTAAGGAACTGAATTATTAGAATAATCCAAAAAAAAACAAAATAAACATATTAGTAATAGTTTTCTGCACAAGAATTTCCTAAACTTACCTACCTTGCCACTCTTCAAAGATACACTAGGAGCAGTCTAATTTGCCGGCCACCACATTAATGCAATCATAATTGTGAATAAGAAAAGGAGAAAACTAGTTGCACCAGCGAGAGAAAAAACACTCAAAAGTTTCATGCTGATGCGGCGTTTTGGATAGCTGAAGCCTCCATTGCACAAATAATATCTACTTTTCAAAACTTGACTGTGAATACAGAGATTTCCATGGAGGTAATCAGGTCATCGATACTGGCGTAATTTTCATTTCGTTTGAGAAGGCGGGTAGAAGGGATTCGTAGATTGGCTTTACCGGATATCGCAGGAGGATTGCCTTGAACTTTTGTCTGTTGAATTATGCGAAGAAGACCTTGGCTCACCGTCTTACGACCCCGATGTCTGCGTGCTGAGCCTTCGTCCGTCCTGTGAGGGACATCGTCAGAGCCAGAAGACATTATTTTCGATGGCCAGCTGAGATCCTACTTCTTACACATCATTTTGCGATTTTAATGAGGCATTCCATGATTTGGTTTACTGACGTATGCTTGTCCTACATGCATGTAGACGGGTTAAAATAATGCAGGCAGGGGAGCGGATCTGGTCACAACTTTTGTCAATGTAAATAAACTAGAGTAAAATCCATTTGTCCTGGATTTTGTTACAGCTTCGTGGATTCATGTTCGTGTATGTATTCGACACTCACGAGTTGGTTGACAATTTTAGGTTCAAAAACAATCTCCAGCTTAGTCTAGTTTTCTCTTACTCAGTAGCTCTTACTGTTACCTTTACTTCTCTCTCTCTCTCATTCTATTTAGAAGCCAGATATAGTTCTTAGTTAGATTGCTACATTCATTCCTCGTATTCAGGATGTTGTTTGTTTTGTTACTTTCTATCTACTTCCTGATCTTCGGCTTAGCTATGAAGTCCTCATATCCAAAAAAACGGTGGAATTTAGATCAATCTATCTGGCGTCCTGTAGCGACTACATGTTCAGCCACTTCCGATTTATGAATCCATAAATCTTTGCATGTGATTCTGTGTTCTGATAGCCTCTTCTTTATGGATCAACAAATCTCTCCCACATAAACACTGCCACATAAGCATAAAACCTTATAACAACCTGAGATGCAGCGGGCGCCAGAAGATTATCTAAAAGAATGCATGATCGAGGAAAGCGTTATTGTTTCTTTATACATTGTCTTGGCAATCCATTTCTTCAATAATTAGCCCATCTTTCTTGAAAGCTTGCAGGATGGTAGCATTAGGAGCCCGGCCGAGGAGTTGTACAACTCCTTGTTTAGTCCATTTCTAAGTATTTTGAACTTTTTCACAATTAATCCTACCGGATGATTGTTCTCAACTAAGATTTTTCTTAGCCTTTCTAACTCTTATTCTTGATGATTTACGCCCGCTAGGCGTTAACTACTTATTATCATTAATTTCATCCCGCCTATCTTAGCACCAAAGTGTGGTTCGAGAAGAAGTTAAGAAGGAAACAAGCATTTGTGGATTTCCTGTATACATCTCTACACAGTTTGCTCCCTTCTTTACTAACTTAGACATCTAAAAAGTGTAAATTATTGTCTTTTTCTAACTCCATAGTGAATTAAGTCGCCTTTTCCACTCTATTCATTAAACCAAGGAAGTTATTCAGACACTCTGTCATGATGCCAGATAGCAAAGTAATCATCCATATATCTGACCAATAGTTTCGGAACTGGGAGTGACTTTTGAAAAAGCCGGACTTCCGAATGAGTTATGTAATTATTAGCTAAAACT